AACCTTTCCAAACTTCCATAAGGAAGGAAAGGTACGAGTGACCAAAGATTGATTAAACAATTTTGTGAGACTTTTACTAATTGCACTAGCCGAATCTTTCAGAAGACGAGCAATAATATTGTCTAGGCCAATTGCTTTGTTAGTTCTAAGTTGTTAAAGTTGATCGCGAACGAACTCTTCGGTGATTGGTTTGAAAACAAACTTTGGTAAATCAGTAGACCTTGCAGGAGGAGATAGTTCGGTAATTTAACATTTAAGATTTTGGTAATAGATGGATTGTCACAATGTGCCACGCCATCAGCTTCGATACAAGAGATTGGAGAGCTCTGTTTACGTGATGTGATTTTATTCAAGGTTTTCCACAACGCACTTGGATTGCTCTTGTTAATGTACTCCGCTTTGCACTTTTGTATTTCTTTGTTGACATAGTTCTTAAGCTTCTTGTAACGAGACCAGAGGTGAGGTGAGTTAGATTTAATGGCTCTGCTATGGAGATAATCGCGTTGGCTCATAGCTTGTGATAAACGCGAGTTCATCCAGGGACAGCAGACTCCACGTATTCTAGCTTTCCTTATAGGGGCATGTCTATCAGCAATATTAGTAAACAGTTTGTTCTATGTGGAGACGGCAGAGTTGACATCTTCCTTGTTTGCAACAGATTGCCAGTCAACATCCTTCAAGGCCCCGCCTCCTTTATCTTTTCTGTACTGCTTTGCAAGTGACGTCAAAGAACCTACGCGCTTCTCGCAAAGAGTAGAGAACGTAGCTCCTGGTGTCAGTTGTGGTCTAGTCTTGTTATTGTTTATTCAGGCCCATATTTAAACCAGCTTTGAGCTGAACTGGGCCAGCCTGTCTAAATATCGCAAATAAATACAAACAAATTGCGAGCACTCTGAGTTATTTTTTCTCCGAATATTCCTGTGTCTCTCACTGAATAAGATGACAATTTCTATCATGATAATTTTGTTTCCCCCGACAAAGTAAAGCTGAATTTTGAATACTGCGCTGGTAAGACTTCTATGCATTTCACAACAAAACCCCGAAGTTTAATTTTTACTTTTGACTATGGCATTGAAAAAAAAAAAGAAAAAAACCAAAACAAGAAACAAAGGTTCACGTACTGATTGTGCTTACCTTACAGTACACCATACCCCTTAGGGCACTGCTTATTCGGATCCCAAACAGCTCGCACCTGTAACCTTTCTGATTCCAGCCGAGAGTTGCAACCAAAGCCATGAGGCACAAACCCAACGCGCAAATGTAGAAATTAAGATTTTTTTTGTGTTTCTGGTGACATCAAGCTGGAAAGAAGATATCCGAGAAGCAACGGATGAAGTAGATGATATGTTGAATGCAAAACATGCCCGAACATAATCACCAAAAGATCGTTAAAAGGGAGTATCTTGAACAAGCATTTCCAAAGCTTAGGTCTTTTTCCACTTTTCATACACCTGCATCCCTCCTTCTCCCAACTCGCTAGAAGATTTTCAGTCCACGTACGGGCTGAGTTCTCCTTTGACAAGGGTAAAAAATCATCCTTATCTAAAGGTCGTTGACTTCCCGTCTTGAAGATACTGTTCATCCATTGAAAAAGGAGAGCGGATATAAAGCTGACTTCCTTGGATTCTTCTTTGTGGTCGACACTGGAGATTTTGCTGTATCCGCTTTTCCGTGCCATTGAAATCTTTCAGCTGCCACTGAATCTATTGACCCAAAAGTATCAGAAGTATGCGTTATCATCTAGATTAGTAAGCCAAGAGTCCCTCACCAATAGAGCTAAACCCAGTGTATTTCTACCGGCCGATTGCATGGGATTGATAATCCGTTATAATCCGTTCTAATAATTCGTTATGTTTTCATACCCCAATAACTACCTGAAGAAAGACACTTTACATGCATGGCTATTCACACTTTGAGGGACTGAAGTTATATCAATAATGCTCAGTTTAACGTAAAAAGAATTGCAAAAACTTGGCCCCTTGACGGTAAATCATATTTTTAGCTCGTTCCGCTTTATTTTTACGATTTCCACGATTGTGCCTCTTAGTTGAGTTGGGTAATTACATGGAATAAATTATTTTTTTCTAAACGGGCCAAATCTACTGGAGGGATTTGTAATGATCTACAGCATCTCCTTGCTTACACATGCCAAGAAGTTGCATAATGTGATAATCGTTTAGGACTCTTGAGCTACTCAAGTTTTCATAGATAAGGCAAATCACCGAAACGAATGTCTAATGAAGAGTCGTTGCTCTCTGTCTTAAGACTCAAATCGCTTCTTTCAATCTTTGAATTCTTTCCCATCACTTTCCTGTCCCAATTTTTAATAATCTGTCTGTTTACATTATAACATTTGAGGCTAATCGTCATGTTTTCATACTTTAATAATTCTGTCTGAAGACGCTTACTTGGCTATTTACACCTTGGTGTGCTGACTAATACTTAAAAAATGCACGCGTTTCAGTTATATTGGAAATGCTCAGTTTAACGCAAAAAAAAAAATGCGAAAAATTAGCCATTGACGGTCAATCATATTTGTAACTTGTTACGGTCTATTTCCACGATTATGCCTTTTAGATGATTTGGGTAATTAAATGCAATAAATTATGTTTGATTTAAACGCGCTAAATCTCTCTACTAAAGGAATTTGTAATGATTTACAGTATCTCCTTCCTTACGAATTTTTTTGCCCATGAAAAGGGCTTCAAATGTAGTTCGGGTGGTCTCTAATTCCTTTTTTGCGTCGTCAAAAGCCAAAAATTGATTTTTGGCTAAACCATCTGAGTGGACAGCGGTCGAAAGTGAAAATTCTACAGATTTTGTCGAGTGCGCAGTGACGGCAATAATACTAAATCTCCAAAGAAACTACAAGAATTCTTGGAGAGTGTATGGGTGTTGCTTTGTGTGTCCCTTTAAGCGACGCAGTATGTTTCCAATGACCAGAGTGCCAAACGTTATTCTTGATTTTGATTTTCTCCACACTGTGAGTGTTCATGACCTAAATCATTGGATATTAACGAGATAACGAGGATACGCCTTCAATCAATTTTGATTCCTTTGTAAGTCATGCAAGCGTTACAATTAATCACAGTCATGCAACGTTTTAGGACAACTCGTGATCTATTTTCTATCCAATTGTTATGAAAACTTTAAATCCTCAACGTAGTAGATAAAGAAACGAGGTTTGGATGGTCCGGGCCAAAGGATATCTTGATCAATCAGTTGCAGGATTATGCAATGAATGAAACGAGAGCAATTGAGTACACACATTGATTTGCGTTCTTTTCAAGATGTTGGTGGATGAAAGTTAGAGAGATATCCGGGGTTTGACGGAATCGGTGACCTCATTGGTGTATGAAATATACATCGCTATGCTTTTTTAGCCCAATTTCCCCTGCATTTTAAGAATTCTTTTTTAGAAATTGGTGAATTTTTGATATGCAAGTTAAGGTCGAAGAGAAGGATCTCCTTTGATCAACCTGGTATGAAAAACGTTTCAATCGAAGTTTCCATATTTTGTCTGTGAACTCACTGAACACATCTTGTAACTTGTTGCAAGAGAGAATTCGGTGAGCTATATTATTGCAGTCGCTGCACGCTCGTCAAAATCTGTGAAATTTACAACTTCGATCGCTGTCCACACGGGTGGTCTCGCCAAAGATCAATTTGAAACTTCTGATTGTTCATTATTTTGATGCCGCTATAAATATCTAACCAAGGAAGTGTCATTCAATCGTTTCATTTGCAAAACGAATTGTACGAAGAATGAGTTAGAAGCGGTAGCGACACGGAGTGTATCATTCTGTGTCAAAGAAAAATGAGTCTTTACGTACAGCCTGACGCTGAATGCTGCAGTTCTGCGCCGTTCTTGGCGCCTCAGACTTTATTCTCGAAAAGTACAGAAACTTCTAAATAAAGCGGATGAGTTCACAAAATGTCATGCTTGTTGACTGTGGGGAGGAAAGGTTGCCAGATGATTAAGAATTCACGTGAATTCCCACAGAAATTCAGTTTAACAATATCGTCGCATTATGTCCCGTTCCATTCAAAGGCTTGTTCGAGAGGGAGAAACATCAGTTTCAGGTTTGTACGAATGTAATTTGTACCACGAGGCTAATCACTCTATTCGTCCAGTTTAAGAGAGTTTTAATACTCGTAAGAAAATTTGTTATTCTACAAAAACTGTGAAATGTTCAGCAGGCAACCGTGGACGATACTCCTACTCTTGTACGTTGGATCAGCGATGATCTGATCGACCCAAAATAACGAATATGAAATATAAATATAGAGGCAAGACCGATACAACGTAGTTAAGTAAATTTTAAGACGAAGCACTATATTTCGGCTGGCCAAACCAGCCTTGTTCAGGTGCAGTGGGAATGATTCTACAAACTCCAGCCATTATCTAGAAGTTCAAATGATCAGCATTTCATTGAGGATGGTCACTCAGTACTCAATGTTTTTAAGATAAATTACTGATCGGCATTAAACTTCAACAGACTGCTTGACTTGAATTTCTCTAAAACTTGTCCAAAGATTTTTTTAACAACTCAATGAGATGAAACATTAACGAAATTGGAATTCTGATGGTCAAAAGGAAAGCGACACACTCAGTTGATTTTCAAAGTTAAGCGAAATTGTTAAATTAATCACCACGGTGAGTTTATTTATTTATTTATTTATTTATTTATCAAAAAGTATTTAAAGAGGGAGCCCAGCTCGCCCAATACGGCCGGACCAATACTCATGGTCTTAAAATAACTGAGGAGAATGAGCTACCTTTCTATAATGTCAGGAAATGGATAGACTTTCTGGTCTTCTCGGATAAGGACGAATAAACCAGAGGTCCCGTCTCCTACAGGGTCAGGGGTAGGAGACGTTAATTTCCCACATA